GGTGGGATTTTGGACACTCCTCTGGTCGCTACGATGGCAGAATTGCGCCCTGCTTGGCCCGAAAGCCCCACCGCTACGTTCGGTTCGAGCAATCACAAACCTGTCTCCAACACGAAGAGGCTCTGGTTCATGGCCAACGAGGACGCTCAGGAAGAAGTGACGCGATCTGGGCCGGCGACACCTCCTGGATCCCGGGACGAGGTTGACGATACGTACCGTCAGACGTTGACGCAAAGTCTGCAAATCCGCCCTGTCCAGGAACATACACTTCCATCGGCGGACTTTTTGAATCTGTGCGTTCGGTCGTATTTTGCACGATTCCACCCGGTATTTCCAGTGGTGCACGCACCCACATTTCGTCCTTCAAAAGCCAACTCCATGGTCCTGCTATCAATCTGCTCAGTCGGGAGCCTCTTCACGGGCAGCGTGCATGCTATTCGACAGGGCGTGCACATACTCGAGAGATTGCACAAGGCCGTCCTTGCGAATTGGGACCGACTGATTGCGCAAGGTGTAGATCAACGAATCTCTCTAATCCAGACAGCCATAATCGGGCAAACCTTCGGTTTACTGTCTGGAGAGCCGAGACATCTTGCGATTGTCGACGCTTTCAATGGGACACTAATTTCATGGGCACGCCGTTGGTCGACTTTCAAAACTAAAAAGATGGTGGGACTGGACCTCAATGTCAGCTCCGCCGAGTTGGATAAGAAGTGGAGAGAGTGGGCGAAGAACGAAGAACTTATACGGATTGCACTCAGTGTGCACATACACGACGCCGAGCTGGCCGCTACATTCCATCACGAACCATTCCTCCGCCACAATTCCAGACAACTGCCGGTCGCCGCATCAAATCAGACGTTTATGGCCACTCGGCCTGAAGACTGGCGCCAATCGTACCTCAATGACCCCAGCAACTTTGAAAGCATTGGTTCTACGCCGGCGTCAATCGATGCCCATCTGGACTTTGACCTGGCTGCAATCCCCAGTGACAGCTATTTCACGGCATATACAGTCCTGGAGGGCATATGTGCAAACATTGTCGAAAACCGAATCAATGCCCGTTCAACGCCGTCAAGGACTGAGGAGATATTGAACACCTTGACGTGCTTTTACCGAACGTTCCTGCAAGAGTCGGCCGCGTGGGAAGCCGATCACATGGACATGAGCATTCTCTGGCATCTGGCCTTCATGATCATGTTCGCCGACTTTGATCTTCTGGAGAGAGCCATCGGGCGAAACGGACCAGAACTATCACCCGAAGATCAACTCGCCGTTACGGCTTGGGCAAACTCAGACCAGGCCAAGAGGTGCGTAGTCCACGGGTTGATTGTGCAAAAGAAATTGGAGAATCTTCCGCTTGGCTTTGAGCCAGCCATCCACGTACCTAGGGCCATGTTCAGAGCGGGTATTGCCTGGTTTTGCTATACTCGAATCGGCTCTCAAGGTGTTGGCCAACGAGCAGGGGCCGCTGAGGCCCTGGAGTTTCCAGAGTTCAAGACAATTGGCGTCAACCCAGCGTTACTTCTTTTCCAAGCGAGTGGATATAAGCACGGCAAGCCTACCACGACTGAGACCAATGCGGCCCTGAGTGGACTGACAGACCTGTTGAGGCGCATCGGTCACTGGGAAATTGCGCGACGATTTGCCGCCATTCTCGGTGCTCTCCTTCACAACGAAGCTGACTAAAGTCTTCAGAGTTTCGATCGCTTGGGGGTTTTCAGTAATCTGATCATGCGTGCTCCAGCATGGCCTCCAGCGCATCTGTGGTCGCCCCTTGTGGCAACAGAGCTTCTTCCCACAAGAGGAAGCCATATCGTGATCTCTGCCACAACATACACCCGAGATGGTGGTATTCGAATATAAAAATGTGACATGCTTTGCCTCTGACATGACAGCCGCATCGATATTGCGAGCTCAAAAACCCCTCAGCTGACGAGGTCGCATGTGCTACGACGCCGAAGTGGACTTCTGCAAGCTGGCCCGCCACCACATGGCATCTAGTGGAATAGGAGCAACACGGAGAACACCCGAAGCATGAGGACAAGAAAGAAAAGCAAAAAAAGGACGAAAATCGGCGACTCCAGGTAAGGTCCTCGATTCCAATGGCGACGAGGCGAGGATCACCTATTGTGGGTTGTAGCCTCTCGTGGGGGTTGCCGCCTCGAAAAGGCTCTTACTCCGACATCCAATAGCCCCAATTCAGCCACCAGGTCCATCGTCATCCATTCACCTTGGATCATTGTGGAGGCAAGGCTGTATCTCGCTTCTGCACACGCGGATAGTCGAGTTGGACCTACTCAATCGGGTTAGTCAGTCCCCCCGTACCCTTAAGGTCCTCACTTTTTGCTTGGGCAAATCCTTGACGCTGTCAAGCAATTAGCTAAATCTCACGGCAAGGGCTTACAGTATCCGATTACCCTGTTCGAAGGGGGAAACGGTTAAAAGGCCGGTACGCGCTGCCTGCGTGGTGGTCGTGGTCCAATTCTTGTCTCTATACTCCTGCGGACGAGCACCATGGCCTCCAATTCATCCACCGACTTTGGTGGAAGCACCTTCGACCCAGAGAACGTCAACCTGACCTCTGCTGACCCTCGAGATGTCATCTGCGCTCTTGCCGAGTCCGGGAATGACTACAATGGTCAACTGGGCGCCAGAATCTCAGCCCTGTTTGTGATTCTCGTCGTCTCATCGGCCGCGACATTCTTCCCCGTCATCGCAAAACGGATGCCACGTCTTCATATTCCGCTCTATGTTTACCTGTTTGCGCGGTATTTCGGTGCCGGAGTCATTGTCGCCACGGCATTCATCCATCTCCTCGATCCAGCGTATGGCGAGATTGGTCCTGAAACATGCGTGGGCATGACAGGTGGTTGGGCCGATTATGCGTGAGTGTGCCGTGGCTGTATTGCCATCAACTCCCGTGTCGACGTGACAAAACAGCTGACCCTTACCGATACTGTAGATGGTGCCCGGCCATTGTGCTCACGTCGGTGGTCGTGATCTTCCTCTTCGATTTCGGAGCCGAACGATATGTCGAAGTCAAGTACGGAATCGACAGTGAAGCAGACCTGCAGGAAGCGGTAACCGGGTACACGGACAGGACACCGAGCGAGGCTCAACGCGAGCGGGCGGAGAGCATGGCGTCGATACGGCGCGAACACGAAGAGCGGCGGAAGTCGTCGGCGTATGAGAAGCGGTTCGTCGAGGATTTCGCCGTGGACCAGGAGGATAGCGAAGCACGCCAGAACTCGTTCCGGCAACAGATTGCGGCTTTCCTGATCCTGGAATTTGGCGTCATCTTCCACTCGGTCGTCATCGGTCTCAACCTAGGCGTGGTGGGCGACGAATTCAGCACGCTGTACCCGGTCCTGGTCTTCCACCAGTCCTTCGAAGGGCTCGGTATCGGTGCGAGAATGTCGGCCATCCCATTCAAGTCCAACAGCTGGCTGCCGTGGATTCTCTGCGCGGCCTACGGGCTGACGACACCCATTGCCATTGCCATCGGTCTCGGTGTGCGCACGACGTACAACCCCAACTCGTTCACGGCCAACGTCGTCAGCGGGGTCTTGGATGCCATGTCGGCCGGCATTCTGATCTATACTGGTTTGGTCGAGTTGCTGGCGAGGGATTTCCTGTTCAACCCGATGCGGACAAAGGACAACAAGAGACTGGCGTTTATGATCGTGTGCGTGTTGCTTGGTGCAGGTCTAATGGCATTGCTTGGGAAATGGGCTTGAGAGACTGGTTTTTGTGTGCAAGTGTTTGTTGACCATATAGACTGCGACGGACGAGGGGGATCTATTGGTAGAAGCGGGTGTCTCAAGTCCCTGTCGCTTCCTCCAAGACATGCCTGTTGCAGATGTTTTCTTGGTTCTGTCCATATACTGTATGTAATACAACTGTTGCCCGAGTCTGTCAGTAAATGTTTACAGAGACACGAGAAGAGAGAAGAGAGATTTCACAGACCGGCATGATAGTATTTCAAACCTGTATCTGTGCTTTTTATGACCGCGAGGTCTCAACAATGAGGCTCCCCGTGGGTTACACACGTCTGAAGAATGTTACGCAACTCCCATTCCAGATCATCAGCGTTGGACTTGGCTTGTTCTTGTCCTGATTGCCACCGCGGCCCGCCAGCCAAGCCTGACTTGGCTATAGCAGTACAAGTACAAGTATAAAGTGCTCGCAGATACCAAGCTAGTTTACCAGGGGAGGATGCCTCGGTAAGGGAAGCTCTGGGCATTGATTACTACTGTACTTTACCAGTCAGTGCCTCATACAGCAAACACCATTTGCCCAGATCATCCCCACACAGTCTTGTCGATTCATGGCGCTTTATCTCTCAAGTTCGAGTTCTGTCGATATCTTATCTCTCTGACCCCTTGATCGTCCTCTATCCGCGACCGCTGTCCATACACAATCCCAGCTCCAGTAAAGAACCCCAAGGAGCTTCTTATCCATCATCCGCCCCAAGGCAGCGGGCGCTGCCCGGTGGGATACTTGGTGCAAACCATTCCCCTCTACCAAGTACTTCCAAGCTCCCAAGATCCTCCCTCCTGCATGGTTCTCGGGCCGCTCCCTCAACGGGTCTCATCACAATCTTTACTGGTTTAGGGAGGTCGATGGCGGCTGTTGACCGATAAGTCTTTGCGGCTAAGTAGTTGCTCCCGAATAATACTGGGTCCTTACACCGGCCTCTCTTATCAAGGGACATGTCCGATCTTCGTCCTCCGCCAAGGTCTAGACCATACGCTTTGGGTGTCCTTGGGGACGTCGCTTATGGTGGTGCTCGTTGATTTGAAAAGTGGAGGGCAAGTTAAATATATGGATGGATGGATGGCCATGTGGGATCTGGAAAACCTCGTCCTTGTCTCGTCCGCCATCCACTTCTGGAGAAGGTGGGATATTATTTTTTTTCTTTCATCGATCTCCCCTCTCTAGCTTTCCCCCTGCCATATTACTTCCTCCAGAGAACCAGAATACATATGGCCGGCAATATGGTCGCTGACGCGAAGACCACTGCTGAGATCCACAACGACGCTATCGGAACTCCACACTCAGACGTCTCTCTGCCGGGCGACAAGGAGTCGACGCTCGAGGCACGCGAGATCTTCAAAGATGGCCACGAGGGCGTCAAGTTCCGCACCGTCAGCTGGCAGCGGGCCACCATCATCTTCCTCAAGATCCAGTTCGCCATGAGCATCCTCGCCGTGCCGGGGGCGTTGGCCACCTTGGGAGCTGTCGGGGGAGCCCTGTCGATCGTGGGGTGGCAGATATTGAACACTTGTGAGAGCTCTCCCTTGGACCCAAAAGAATGTGACGGGAGATGACCACGAGAATAACTGACGTGTTATCAAAATAGACACGGCCGTCATCTTGGGAGACTTTCGCAATCGTCACCCTGAATGCCACAGTAGGTCCAACTCCTTCCAGGTCTCTTAAGGGGTGGCTTGGTTAGAACTACCCTCCCGGCGTCTAACCTCCAATGTGCAGCACTCGCCGACATGTGCGGTCTCATCTGGGGTCGCGTGGGCAAGGAACTCGTCGGGCTCCAAATCCTAGTGGCCCAGGTGCTCATCACGGCGGCGGGGATCGTGTCGTGCTCGACGGCCTTCAACGCGCTCTCAGAGCACGGGGCCTGCACCGTCGTCTTCAACTTTGTGTCGGCCGTGCTGATCACGCTCTTCTCGTCGGTCCGGACCTTTTCGCGGATCGGATGGCTGACGTGGCTGGGCTTCACCACCTTCTTCATCGCCGTCTTCATCTTCGTCGTCGCCGTGACGCAGCAGGACCGGCCGGCCGCGGCGCCGCCGACGGGCGACTTCGACCTCGGGTGGGTGGCGATCGCGCACCCGACGTTCGTGGCCGGGATCACGGCGAGCGCCAACATCTTCATCAGCGGCAGCGGGTCGCAGATGTACCTGCCCGTCATCTCGGAGATGCGGCGGCCGCGCGACTACCGCAAGGCGGCGGTGGTGGCGGGCATCCTCGTCGGGGCCATGTACCTGACCTTCTCGCTGGTCATCTACCGGTGGTGCGGGCAGTGGCTGGCGACACCGGCGTTCGGCAGCGCGGGCACGCTGTTCAAGAAGATCTCGTACGGCGTGGCGCTGCCGGGCCTGGTCATCGGCGTGGGCATCTACCAGCACGTCGCGGCCAAGCTGATCTGCGTGCGCGTCCTGCGCGACTCGCACCACCTGCAGGCAAACACCCTCGTCCACTGGTCCACCTGGCTGGGCAGCAACCTGGTCCTGGGCGTGCTGGGCTTCATCATCGCCGAGGCCGTCCCCATCCTCAACTACCTGCTCGGCCTCGCCGGCTCCATCTGCTTCGCGCCCTTTAGCCTCATCTTCCCGGCCATGCTGTGGATGTACGACTTCAAGGCCTTTGCCCGGGGGAGTGGCGCCCAAAAGACAATCTACGCGTCGCACATGCTGATTGTGCTGGTCGGCATGTTCATGGTCGTCGGGGGGACGTAAGTGTGATCCCTTTTCCTCCTTTTTTTTTTTTTTTTTTATTTACCTGCATCATCTCGCTTTTAACCACACGCCATTTTTGTTTTCCTGTCTCCCTCCTTAGGAACCTTCCTCCCTTTTGCGAGTGTGTGAGTGCAGATGTGAACTGATAGTGTGACTAACGACTCGCTCGGAAACAGATACGGCGTCGCCGTCTCGATCAAAGACGCTTTTGCCAACGGACTGATTTCAAAAGTCTTTGACTGCGCCGATAACTCGGGCACCATTTCCTGATCTCCCGAGATGGCGACGACAAGTGGAAGTGAGAAGTTGCCAGGACACGCCCACTCTCTGCCCCCTTTGCTGTCGGTCCAGCCGGCGGATGTATACAGCAATAAAGCACACAGAATACATTGTCCGAGACGGACTTTTATCCCCACAACGAGAGTTTGCTCATACTTGTAGTTTACAAAGGATTACAATGTGTGAAATTGTGAACTACGAATCACGAATCGTGAATCGTGAATCGTGATTTAGTACCCGCTAGTCAGTCCCAGTCGCAGAAGTATAGGTGCCACACGTCGTACACCATATTACACGGTATACGAAATGTGATATAACAATATGCCATATACCACACCCACACATTTTCCCTCCTTTCCAAACCCCCATCTATACCATACCTAAACCCACCTACACCTACCTACCTGGCGCCGTCCACCCCTGCCGCCTTCAAGGGTATAAGTTCTACATACAGAGAGCGGAATGTAAAGACTTGAACCGGGTAATCGGGTGATTGTCTTTATCCTGTGGCCATTGGCGGAGCGGGGCGTGGTGGGTTGAGGAGGGGGGCTCATCGTTTTCAATCCACTGCTTCGATCGCTACATGTCCGCAGACGGAGAAACTCCTTTGTGAACCCCTCACTGGACGACAGGACGGAGCAGGAGAGGATGAGGTAGCTAAGGAGGCTGGCAACAGAAAAAAGGAGAACTTCAGCCTCGTCACGTGGATTGCCAGCTTGCCAGCCACGTCCCTCATACTCAACATAACTCTACATGCATACATACGACCACTCCCTCTCCAACGACGGGAAGTGATTGACGCGCTGACATTCTGGCAATACTGGGCTGGTTGATAAGTCCCTACCACACTAACTCTTGGGGAAAACAAAAGGTGGAAGAATCGCCTGTCAATATTGAGATACTCCTTGAAAAGAGGTTTATCTGGTGGATGTGTGTATGTACATTGGGATCGGCGTGGCAATAGAAGGTTCTGCGAAGCTGTCGCTTTCACGACCGAGAGTTCTCTCTCGGCAATGAGAAACTCCTGGCGTGACCGGGAACCATCGCTAAGCGAGCCATCTTCGAGGGGCAGTTGAAGTCAATGGCAAAGCACGCGTCACTACATAAACTTCTCAAAAGTGAATGCATGCTGAAATGGGTGGCCATGTGTGGCGAAATCATCCTTCCTGACGACGCGGTAGGCATTTTGGCTGCAGCGGCCTGCTGATAGAACTCGACCTTCGACGACAAATGTCATAATATCGGCACATCCGACTGACTGTACGATTAGTTCATTTGCCAGTTGCCTTTGTGAACAGTGCGATCGTCGTGTTTTCCCGCAGTTCAGTCTAGGGACAATGTAGCCGAGATAGGACCTCGTACACAAGCCCTTGTAATCTATTCAATATTCCTCATTGCGGATGACGGACCAACATCTCAAAACTTGGTTTGGGACGACGCAGGAGCACTGGGCTCCACTTGTCTCATACCTGGTCCTGGCAAGATTGATTGCTCGGAAAGGGTACATGCGGCATCTTGAGATTCTGTCTCATTGTCGATGATATGCTCGTGCTCGAAATGCGGCTTCTCCATACACAATCCTAGGCATATTCGCTCGAGGTCAGCAGCAAGAGAGCTCGCGAGTCCCTTTGCTCCCCAAGAACAATGCGGATTTTGGGCTCTTGCAAACTGTGGAGAATTCTGAAAAGAACCGCTTTTGCCAGCGTATCCGAGAAATTTGGATCCAGATGTTCGATTTCTTTTCGATCAGAAGTCCAACATGTCACAGGCTGTCAATCAAGCCGGCCTCCGCTTCACAAACTCTTCCAGATCACTCCTGGTGACGACTCCCAGCACGAACTTTCTACCCCCATCAGTCACAACCGCAAAGTCTTGTTTGGCACCTGTCGCCAGCGGCCCGATATCCTCGAAAAATCCTTCAAGTTCCCATAACTCGGTCTCCATTGTGACAACTTGATATTTCTTTCCGCCTCCTCGCTGGAATTTCACCATGGCTTTTGAAACTGGGTCAGAAGGCTGCAGGTGTCCTGACTCGAAGAGTTGCTTCAGCTTAGAAATCGGCAGGTAACCCAGAAGGGAGCGAGTATTGTCGGAGAGGACGGTCAAGTGCGAGTAGTCATGGGACGAAGCCGAGAGCATGGCAGAGGCAAGTGACGTGCTTGGAGATGTCGACAGTGCAGGGGGCAGGTCCAGGTCTGCTACAGTAGCGCCTCGATATTTATCTGCCCAACTAGACAATCTTGCAGCCCGTTCATCTTCTTCAGGAGGAAGTCCGTTGGGCTGAGGGACGATTGTCGGGCCCAGAGGCACGCCCTGCTCGAGATGGGATTGAGAATGTTCCATGGCTTGCGTCCGTGTCAGATCAGAGCAAAGTAGTTGTCCTGGTCATGGATCTGAAGGCGCTATCTTGTCATACTAAAAGGGCGAGACATAGGTGCCGGCTGCAATGGAGGACCGACAAGAGTTTCTTCTCAATTTTAAGATTGATCTCGTGATATTTGCGGCTGAAGGCTTCTGTGAGGAGCCGTAGTCGTGACGTACTGGTTGGGAGAGCACGGATCCAGCATCCTCTAGAGGAGCAGCCCACCCAAGCCATCTTCCCCAGGCCCGAGGGACAGGCCCCATCATTACATTACTTACCTGGACAGCACTGCCAATCATAGAGCTGCGGTGATAGCAACACTGACGTCCAGCTTGTAACCCCCAGTCCCCCTCGCTCCCACATGCAGTTGGTCGCTTCCTTGAACCAACTTGCTCCCTCTTCACCTCTCGACTTTTTTAATCGTCACTCGTCGTTCATTTCCACAGTACCGCCATCCATCTGCCGCAGTCTATTCATCCATCAAGACTCGAGGTATTTCCCCCTCCTACGCACCATCCCTCTGCCTTCACACAACAACAAGCTCGTTTACTTAGCTTGCTCAATTGGAAACCCCGGAGATAAGCTGATCAGGGTACTCAGTACAGCACCATGGTCGGGCTCTTCCCCAACACGACGGCCTTGTCCCAGGCATTCACACCTACCTCTCCGTACTACAAGCCCGCTCCGAAACCAATTGAGAACCCCGAAAAGCGTCGAATCTTCTCCTCATGGAGTGCGGCCGAATCCGCCAAAGACAAGGCGGTTGAACTGAGCGAAGCTGCTCAAAAAGAATATGAGAAGGCCAGCGCAAAGGCCCAAGCCAAAGTTGGGGGCATTGAGCTCTATTCCGCCAAGTACTATGCCGCTTGTACCGCTGGCGGTATCCTGGCATGCGTATGTCGATGGCTTTGCTCCTGCACCGTGCTGTCGGAGTTAACGCGCAACACAGGGTATCACTCACGCAGCCGTCACCCCTCTCGATCTCGTCAAATGTCGTCGCCAGGTCGATCCCAAACTGTACAAGGGCAACTTTCAGGCCTGGGGTACCATCGCCAGGACTGAGGGTTTCCGGGGCATCTTCACAGGTTTCGGCCCGACGTTTTTTGGGTACTCGGTGCAAGGCGCTGGCAAATATGGCTTCTACGAATACTTCAAGCATTTGTACAGCGAATTGGCCGGTGAGGAGAATGCTCAAAAGTACAAGACCACACTCTACTTGACTGCCTCCGCTTCGGCCGAATTCATTGCCGACATTGGTCTCTGCCCTTTCGAAGCCGTCAAGGTCCGTATGCAGACCACCATACCACCTGCATACTCCGGTACCCTCAATGGACTGTCGACAATCACAGGTAAAGAAGGAATTGGCGGGTAGGTCCAAATCTGCCGCGTTCGGCGCCTGGTGATGCTGACAGCTTTCAGTTTGTACAAGGGTCTCTATCCTCTATGGGGCCGACAGATTCCGTATACCATGATGAAGTTTGCCTCGTTCGAAAACATCGTTGCCGCCATCTACAATTACCTGCCCGGCAGCAAGTCCGACTACGGCAAGGGCGCTCAGACAGGAGTGGCTTTCGTCGGTGGTTATCTCGCTGGTATCCTCTGTGCGATCGTCTCGCACCCTGCGGACGTGATGGTCAGCAAACTCAACGCAGAACGTGCCCCGGGTGAAAGCTTTGGAGGTGCCATGGGCCGCATCTATTCCAAGATCGGCTTCTCGGGTCTCTGGAACGGTCTTCCTGTCAGAATTGTAAGTTTAGAGCACCGCACAGTGGAGAAGAATACGCTTTGCTAATACTCTCAAACCCTTCTAGGTCATGATCGGAACCCTAACTGGCTTGCAATGGATGATCTACGACTCCTTCAAGATCTTCATGGGCCTCCCTACAACTGGAGGTGCTCCGGAGAAGAAGCAGACTGCTTAGATGTAGAACGTATAGGCATAGTCAACGGGGACGAGAGAATGATGGGAAGAGAATTAATTTGCCAGGGTTGGGCGGCCATTAAACGAATTACTGTACATGACACCGGGCACTGGCTGCCAGAAGGAGGGATTTGATAGCTCAACTCCTGTATGAGTTTTAGGACAATCAGGCGATGATTAAAGATGTGACAAGCCTTACGAGGTACAGAACCGTGGCCCCAAGCTCCGTTCTCCGTTCTCCGGACTCGGTACTGCTGGGTGGGCATGCATCTTCGCTTGGTCCGACTAGTATACAAGTGCGAGGCATGAATGGGCGAACGGGGGGTCGGGATTGGCCATTGATAGCACAAGGCTGGGCATGCCATGTTAGCGAATCTTGGCCAACGTCAAAAGAAAACTTGGTGTTTGGTCCCAATTTCAGCCGTCAATCACTGGACGTCATGTTGAGCAAACCGACCGTGGGCGGCTGCTGGGGGCGCTCCGGGCGCTGGGCGAAAGTCACACCATTAATTTGCTGCGCCTGGTGGCGCCCGCAATTGCAGTTTGTCAGTTGCAATTGTCATGGCATTTCTTGGTCTGCTCGGATAGCACCGAGTTATCCTCTGCCCATTATCAGCACCTCACCGACTCATAGTTGGTCATCTTCTGCCTTCCTTCCCTTCAAATATCCTACGCGAACCAGCCTCAGCCCATCTCAACTTCCACAAC